AACACACTAATTGTCTTTCAGTGATCAATGCACACATTGAGCGACTCACAGGAGCTCTTTCAAGCTGGGCACCGTTTCCTTCACAACACCTGTCCCATCAACCAGGAATCAGAATCAGAAATACTTTAATAATCCCAGGGAGAAATTACTTTCGTTACATTACTCCATCTGTAATAGAGTGACTATAGGACCAGTTTGATAGAACACAATTTCATACAATATATATAATTAGGGGGTCCCCGCTCCATCTCGCAATCAGTTTGGGGGTCCTTGGCCTCGAAAACGATGAGGACCCCTGTTCTAGTGTTTATATTTATCTATAGCCAATAATTTGTACCAAAATCTCCCCTGAAATAACATTAAAGGCTTTCTTAAGTCTTTTGCAGCTTCAAATGTTTGTGTTTTTTGGTAAGTATTTCCCTCAACAGAGAAGATCCAAAAGTCTTCCCTCATCATGATGGATCCACCACCCTGTTTTCCTATAAGAATGGTATATTCGGTGTGATGCATTTTTTCTTCTATGAAGGCTATAGAAAAATATCTTAGCCACATTTAACAAGTTCCCTTTTTCCAGATTTCTTCTTGGTATCTCCCATATTTGCAGGGACTTTACATGAATAATCAGGTTATTTTCTTTTGGGGCCAATTTAGTGGAGTTCACGACCACTAGTCCTGTCATGAACAAATGCACATCACATTTGGAAATAGATTTTAAATTTGTGTACGTCACCCCAAACAGTGTAATTTTGTATTGTGACACTATGTGGAAAAGTACTAGATGATTGTTTTATATTACAACGTTTAATGCGGAGATAAACGTTCTGTACAAAGCTCAACATTTCTGACTATAGATTGAAGGCATGGTCTGAGCAGAAATCTACAGCATAGTAGAACAACGCGAGGGTACCATCTCCCATGCATCATTTCTATACGCTACAACAGCCGTGCCATGCTCTGCGCATGTGACTCCAAAGCGGTGCCAAGGAGAGCAGTCGGTAAACTGCGTTAACTCCGCAGTGAGTAGTTGGACCCATGCTCCCTGCACCTACCTCATATCCCCGGTTGTTGTTTTTTTTTCTGTTTTCTTTTTTCACCCCCTCTCTGCGTAAATATCTCAGGCCCTGCAGAGGGACGCTGAGCGCAACGGCGTGGAGCGGACTCCCAGCAGCAGCAGGATACTACAGCTTCTTACCCCTTGTTCCCAGAGAGCCCGCAGTGTTATGATCATCGTCGGGGAGCTGCCCTGCAGCAGCGGAATGCTTCTTCTTCCCCAGGCTTCAGCGTAGGAGCGCGCCTTCCCCACCGGGGATCCACCGCACCTTTGGGCGTCAGACGGATTTAGTTAAATCGGTGTAGCTGATCTCACACCACCCGCTTATTGGTGGCTCTGAGCCTTCGCTGTCAAACCGCGATGTTAATCCAATCAAGTGTTTAAAAGCAGGAAGGCTAAGAATAGAGGCTAAGAGAAGGAGAGAAAGTTTGATTTCTTCAACAGAGGATCTGGGATGTATGGAGGAAACGATTCGTTCATGTCATTGATGAATCACCTGCCAGGAGAGCAGCATTTGCTGGGAGGACATCACAGCGGCATTTCCATGATTGATTCCTGCATCTGTGCTGGGAGCATTGAGGAGAAGTAATCTGTACAGGAGCAGAAACTGGTTACATATGCCGCCAGGTGATTTTCACACGGTGTCACCTTCGTCTGACTGTGTTTTCTGACAGTTTGCACAGCTGCACTTGGTATGTTTACAGTGGGATGCTGGAGATTTGGGGCATATTTAGATATCCAGAGTTGATGTTACACAGTTAACCCGTTATCTTTATCTTAATCTGATACAAAATGAAAAGAAAATATCTAGAGGTTCATGTCAGATCCAGCAACAGTAACTGATAACATAAGGTTTTATTGTAGGAGCAATAGATGGTGGGGATCTTGGCCTAATTTACTCCAAACACACTTTAGCTCCTCTATCTGCCTCATGCTGTGCCTGTCTGCATTACTTTTTCTTACTCCACATATCAGACTCTAGTTGATGTTTTTGCATTAACTAGGTTCGATTTAACAAACAATTTCTCAGCTGGAAATGATAAACTGCATTGGATACAGTTGCCAAAAAAATATACCTTTAAACACCTTGTGTTTACATAACCAATATATATGAGATTTAAAGGAAGTAGCCTACCTCAATGCTCTGATTACATTATCTAAATTTCAGGGATAAAGATTTATTTAACCTTTATTTTACCAGGAAGTCCCTTGAGATAAAATCTCTTTTTCGAGGGAGACCTGCCAACAGAAAATAAATGGCAGATTTAATGTATTCATTAATTTACATCATAGTTTACTATAATTAAATCATATTTAGTTGCATTTAATTTGATTTCTGGCTAAATCCCATCTCAGGAAACTTCATTAAGATGCACCAATTGTTATTGTTTATCAAAAACCGAAAAGTAAAGAGTTTTTTTTTTTTTACTTAAATAATAACCCCCCCCCCCCCCCCCCCAGCCAAATATAATATTAGGATACAAACTGTGAATAGTTGATCCTTGACATTTAAAAACCTATCAAACTTTGTATAGAATCAGTCCCTTGTCCCTTGCAGTTTAGCACAAATTGTTAATGACAAGACACCTTTGACTGGATAGATAATGTCTGCTCTCAGAGGTGCAAAACAAGTTCTGCAAACTTGTATAGCAAAACACAACTTTACTGCAGTAGAGGAAACACAGTCACCTTTATGTGTTGAGATTTGCTGTATTCTTTACGAGTTACATCCTTAGAATAACAGTTTGAAGAAGCACAGCTGCAAGTTTTCCTTAATCGCTAAGTGTGAACATCTGCATAACTCATTGTTTCTCTTTTATACTAGAGGCAGAGCTGCAATAATGTGTTTTTTAGATTCATAGCTTTCAAAGTATGGGCAAAGTAAAATATTTGCAGCTCTTATAGTTACTTAAAAGATATTTTGGTTAAATTAATCATAATTATCTACAATGCAAAGGTAAAAATTGAATTTTCCTTGAATAAAATGATTATATTGGGACTCAGCATTATGATATGATCAGTGATAAGTATGTTTGTTCGTTTTCTCACACATTTAATCTTGTAAGACAAGGATTAGTTCAGTTTAAAAAGAGGGATTCATTAGTCTAAAGTAATTGAAATGCTTTGTTACGTTTGCAGCAGGACTTTTATATTAATTTGATGGAAAACCATAGAGTAAACCCAATATAGGATCTAGTAGAGAAAACATGACTGTGATGAACTTTGGTTTAGAAAATCCTATGAATGTAAGGTTTTAGTTATGCTTCTCTTGTTCTGTTCTGCTTAAGGGCTGTGTTGAATGGTTTTCTCTGCTTCTCCACTTTGAAGGTCATTTGTCTGGGGTAATGTTTGCAGGTGTTAGAGAGATTTAGTCTGTTCTTGCAGTAACTTGTCGAGAAGCTAGCTCTCATAACCCAACTTGTAGATACTTTCATATTTAGATTTTTCCTCGTTTAAAAAACCTGTACTAACTGTGCAGGTCAGAGCTAGAGGTGATACTCTGACAGGTCTTACTCTGAGTCTTGAGCAGACTTACTTAGTTAGTTATTTTATCTTTTTTGTGCAGCACTTTGGAAACCTTGTGTTTATTTAAATCGTGCTATATAAATAAAGTGGATTGGATTGGATTTGATTAAACTAAGATCCAGGGAAAATGAAGCATATGTGTGTGTTATCAGACAGATTCCTTGTTATTCTGATATTATTTCTCATCCTCTTTGCAATGCTACGTTTATTTCTGCACTTCTGTTGTAGATGGTTCTGGAAATAGTTCTTGTATTTTGTGAAGATTTTTAAATTTTCAAGATGCATTCTCATAGTTTCAACCAACTGTAAATATCTGTTTTTGCAAAAAAAAAAAAAAAAAAAAAAATGGCTAAGTTGCCAAAATTGTTGAGAATTATATAAAAAACAACAACAACAACAACAACAACAAAAAACCTTTATAAGAGTTGTAGTGTTTTTCCAATTCAGGAATTTTCGTTAATTGCATGTATGAGTTAAGAGCCTGTTGTGCTCTGTGTTTTTGTGTGCTCTGTGTGTTTCAGGTGTGTGTGTGGATTGCTGGCAGAATGAGCAGCACATTCGTTACATTAGCTGAGGTACTGGAGGCAAGAGGGGGACCTCTGCTGGAAGAGGAGATCTGGTCCCTGCTGTTGGGCGCTGCAGAGTGTTTAATGGATGTCTCTTATAAGGGTAAAGCATTTCAAATAGCCTCTCCCTTTTGTTGGCTCACACAACATGCCTTATTCCTCTGAACTAATGTTAGTCTAGTGTTGTTTTTGCTTGGGTATTTTGATATGAGTTTGACTCTGTCTGCTTTGCTATGGAATAACATATTTGTGCCTAATAGGTTTTCCGGACTTCTTGGCTTTTTCAGGTCACAACAATATGTGCAGCATCATCAGCCCCACCTCCTTGCTGTTGTCAGCCACTGGAACCTTAGCTTTTAAGAACTGCGGCCTATCAGATGAGGTGTCTGCATTTGCTGCTCCAGAGATGCTGCAGGACCGTGCCGGCTCAACCAAACCTGCCACTGATAGGGTCAGTGCTTGGGTCCTAATGGCTGTCTTGGTATCTCACCTAAAAGATTGCAGGTGTTTTACTGCAAAACCTGGAGCAATTTAATAGTTTTTTTGGTGTTGCTTTTTTATGTGGAGATTTCCACTATAAAACTAACTGGATTGATTATAAAATGAGGGCTCTCATGTGCATATGTGGTTTTCCTGTGAATGCAAAATCTCAGGACATGAGAAACTGAAGGTCAACTAAGGAGTAAACACACCCTCTAGTGGCAGTTGTAAGCTACATGTTTTTTTTTTTTAATCCATCTTTTTTCTTTCTCCCAATTGCTCCAAAACAATTGGAGTTATACCTTCCCATTTTTTGCACATTACACTAAAATATGTCTGCTAATTGCCCATTCAATTTAAATATGATTACATGGGACGAAGTTTTTCACAATATTGGTTTTAAAAAGTCAACGGCTGCAACACCTTTCAGGGTCAACTGCAAGATCTCCTAAATCTGCTCAATTTCACAAATTTACTTTTTGTATAAATTAGTTTTTTTTTTCTGAGAGTTTTTATTGTTTATATAACATGATGAAAAAATCCATTTCCACCTTGGGCTCTTGAAAAAGTGCAAACATACACAGACATCCAAAAATCAAACAATACTGTACAATTTTGAAACTTTTTCATATACTACTTTTATTAAACAAATATCTATATCATCATATCTCTAACTTGAGAATAAAGAATTGTTGCTACATTGATTAATAAATTAGGCTTTTGGATAAACATTAAAAAAGCTAACAATGATAAATGCTTGTGGTTATTTGCTGAAATACAAAGCTGTTTTAAACAGACCAGTGGTTCTGCCAGGATATTTTGAAGCGACCTGGAGAAAAGCAGTTAAATGCAAACTGTTTATATATATTTTACAATTTTGATATTATTACTGCTCTAAATCGGTTTCTCTGTCAGTTAAAAGCATATTTTACAGTCTCTATACTCCATAAAATGATTAATCAATTACTAAATTAGTTGATGATTACAATAATCGATTAATCACGATTAATTCGATCAATTGCTTCAGCCCCAGAAGGAAGTCTTGACAAAACAGGGCATGCAGTTTACATAGGGGTTCACACAATGCTAGGGTGACAAGACGTCCTCTTTTTCCCAGACATGTCTGTGGAATTTCAAAACTGTCTGGGATTTTGGACGACTGCCTCAAACACATTTCATAGCCTAAATCTCACTGAACTCATCCTCAAAAAACATGGGGATCTGCACTGGTGGCCTGTCCTTGGGACAAAAGGAATGCATTCAAGGCTGGGTACATTTGCAGCAATTGCTCAATGTGTGGTGGTGTAGTAGTAACAGCAATTCTATATATAGATGCACGGTGGCGCCATCTGCAGGTAAGTATAAGGTAAGTAACAAACACAACATTTTCAGTAACCCAAATCTGGTCACCCTACACAATGTTTTTTTTTTTTTTGTCTTTATCTTGGTCTAAGCTTTAAATGTTACTTGTTTGACTTTTTCTTAACCAATAGATTTTGCTACACAGATGCTGGTGTATTCACTGGGAATGACTCTCTACTGGTCAGTTGATTTTCAGCTACCTCAAAATCAGGTGGGAGTCTCTTAGACTAAACTAATATTTTCCTGGCATCACAGGCTTAGCCAGTTATTGAATGCCCCTTTCCTTTTTTTTACAGCCGGTCCAGTTGAGTGACCATCTAAACAGCATCCTCCTCAGCATGTGTGAGGAGCTGGCCCACCGCAGGGTAAACCTTACCTCCATTTTGGAGGCCTGCGAATCCCAGCACAAGGCCTCCAACCTGCAGCCGCCTACCAAAGTCGTTCGACAGCTAGTGGAGGAGGTTTTTCACGAATCAGTGAGTCGTAGATATCTGAGGACCGTATGTTCTTCTTTTCTGGCTTTACAGCTTCTCTACAACCAATGTTACACAGTATGTGTCCAAAAATTAAAAGACATGTTGTGTTTCGAGTGCAACCAAACCTTTTAAAATGGTTTAAATAATCGGTTTTCCCCGTTTCTTAGATGGATGGCTCTCTGCCAGACAGTAATATTCCACTGAGCGGCAGGAGCCAGATGATCAGAGAGAGACTTCACAGTGAGTATTCATTTATAGATTCTGATAAATAATCTGCTGTTGTCTGCAGTTAAAATTATAAAACTTATTAAATAATGTCATAAAAGCAATTACCTTACAGCTACATTTTGACTCAAGATAGAATGGAGGTCAACAGGATTAAGATCTTAACCTCAAGCAAGCCTTGGATTAGACTTCAGTAGGAGCCAGTAATCAGATACAGAGAGTTCAGGATGCTCCAGAATAAACCTTCATCATCCTTTAGTTGCTTTCAAACATATAAGTGTCTTAGAAGTGCTAGGGGACTGACAAAAATCATCTGTTGCTGTCATCTTCCATCTCCTACCTGCCCGACAGGAAAGAGAGGGCCATTATCAGACTTCAGTGAAGGAAGTGCTGAAGGGCGGAGGTACTCAACGGACTCGGACTCGAAGTCAGGTAAACAGACAACATAGAATATAAAGCATGCTTTCATTTACTTTTAACAAATATTGGAGCTTTATTTATTTTTCTTCTAAATTATTTAAAAACATGTATGAGCTAAAATTACAATATATATGATAGAAGTAAAGTGCGTTATTTTTCCTGTGTAGGAAGTTTACCTCAAAGACCTTGGAAACAAAGACCAAGAAGCTCTCCCACACCGCTGTACCACTCTTCTTTAGACAGGCATGTATTATCAGCATCAACACATCTACACCGAATCTGAGATCAGGGAGAAACT